ATGACTCGTGGACTTCAACTCCCAGAATTCCTGAGCCAGCCATGCTCAGGACGTACGACTACAATTCCTGTTGCAAGTGAGACAGTTGTTAAGTGAATTTTGCCCCGTTTTAGGACCTTTGTTGCCACAGTTATTAAGTGAATCACTGCAGTTGTTAAGCTAGTCACACCGTTGTTAAGTGAGTCTGGCTTCTCCATTGACTTTGCTTGTTCAGAAGGTCGCAAAAGGGGATAACATGATCCCCGGGACACGGAGACCATCATAAATACACGCTGGTGGCCAAGTGCTCGAATTGTGATCACGTGACCCTGGGGATGCTGAAATTGTCACAGGTGTGAAAAATGGTCCTAAATCAGTCTTCCATTATCTCAGTTGTGTGGCTGCCTTGGTAGGTAGGTAGGTAGCTAACTAGCTAGCTAGCTAGTTAGTTAGTTAGTTTATTTAAGTACAATGACTAGCTATAAGAGAAGGATGAGGGGGGACATGATAGCAGTCTTCCAATATCTCAAGGGCTGCCCCAAAGAAGAGGGAGTCAAGCTATTCTCCAAAGCGCCTGAAGGCAGGACAAGAAGCAACGGATGGAAACTGACCAAAGAGAGAAGCAACCTGGAATTAAGGAGAAACTTCCTGACCGTTAGAACAATTAACCAGTGGAACAACCTGCCTCCAGAAGCGGTGAATGATCCAACGCTGGAAGTTTTTAAGAAGAGACTGGACAGCCATTTGTCTGAAATGGTATAGGGTTTCCTGCCTGAGCAGGGGGTTGGACTAGATAACCTCCAATCTTCCAATATTTGAGGTGCTGCCACAGAGAAGGGGGGGGGTGTCAACCTGTTCTCCAAAGCACCTGAGAGCAGGACAAGAAGTAACAAATGGAAGATCATTAATGAAAGAGACCCGACCAAGAACTAAAGAGAAATGTCCTGACAATGAGAACAATTCATTAGGGGAGCAACTTGTCTCTAGAAGTTGTGGATGCTCCATCACAGGAGGTTTTCAAGAAGAGATTGGACAACTGTTTCTCCAGAATGCTATAAGATCTCCTGCTTCAACAGGGGGTTGGATGAGAAGACCAGAAATATCAACCAGTTGCCAAGAGGCTGAATTTGGATCACGTGACCTTGGGGAGGCTGCGACGGTCGTTAAGTGTGAAAAATGGTCCAAAGTCACTTTTTTTTCCCAAAGTGCTGTTGTAACTTTGAACACTTGCTAAATGAACTGTTGTAAGTCAAGCACTTCCTGTACTTTATATACTGGAAATCGGATAAGAATAAGTCAAGAAAGTCTTCAGAGTCCGTGTAATGAAGGCACTCCTTTGAGAGAGAGAGGGAGGGAGAGAAAGAAAGAAAGAAAGAGTAGAATTTCTGAGCCAGCCCTATTGATCATCACCTGCAGCTTTCTCCAACTTTTGTTCTCGCTTCTGGAAGACTTGGGCCTGCTGTTTGCTTCGCCAGCTCTCCCTTGCAATTGATTTGAAGGTTTGTTTGCAGGGCTATGGATATCTGCCTGCAAAGAGTAGTGGGTCAAGGGACCATCCATTATTAATGCACTGGCGGTGCAGAAGGCTCTTTGGGGATGGAGCGCGGGAGGGGAGGGTCCAAGATGAAAGAGGGGGAGGTCGTGATCAGGTGGTCTGCATTTACCTAGAGGGCGAATTGCTGGCTGAAGTCACACGGAGCCAATTACGAGTTCGAAATGCCAGCCGCTACACTTAAAGAGGAGGAAGGAGGGGTTTAAAAGAAGGGGTGGAGAGAGAAAGAAAGAATAGAAGTGAGAGCGAGGAGAAGGGGGAGGGCTAGGAAGATACAAGAGCTGTTACTCCCCCCCCCTTCTTCAAGCGAGAACCTCATTAACACATCATGGGGGGCCCAACCTGAGCTTCCATTAAAAAAGCCTTTTCAGCCACTGGTGGGGGGCGGCAGCCGAGAGAGGCCACGATCAAATGGCTTGAAAGAAACTGTCATTAAATTTTCATCAGCTGATTGCCCGGAGAAGAGGCAATCTGGGCTGAGTGGATCACAGGGGAGGTGGCTGGTAGAGGGGCCTTGTGTGTATGTGATTGTGTGTGTGTGTATATGTGTTGGATGGAGACGCAAGGAGCTTTCAAAGATACGGCAGCCCAGGAAGCAGCTGGGGAGATGAGTTGGGGGGGGGGTTTCAAGGTTGAGCGCTTGACCGTTGGTGGTCAAGAAACATCTCACCATCATCTGATATCTCCAGCTCCAGTCCAGAAGAGAGCAGGGGCCTGGGTCTGCCAGTTAAGTCCTGGGGTAGGTGGGGGGGGGGGGTGAGGAGCCCAGCAGACATTTTTTGAAGCTAGTAATCAGCTGCCTCAAAAGACAGATTTCTCACCTGGACTGGAGAGAGAAATGAAAATGGTTGGCTTGTAATTGTTACACGAAGAACAGAGTCCATCTATGAGTCCAATCACTTACATCACTACTTTTTTTTTAGTTTTTAACACTTTTTAGGAGAGCAGCTGGTAGGAGGGCTCTTCAAAGAGGCATGCCTAGGTATTGGTAGGTGAAAGAGAAGGAAACTGCGAGTTAGCATCTTTTTGAGGCAGGATGGAGATAGAGGATATAAAAAGACAAGAAAGGTGTCTTTTTTTGCTTAAGAAGAGCTTTGTGTAGAACTTTTGATGTTAATTAACTGAAATGCATTCAAATTTTAAAAGAGGCACTGCCCAAATGTGCAAATGTTTCTCTCAAGACGAACCTTGTGGGCAGCAAATAATCCCCCCTTCTTCTTCCTTTCTTCCTCCCTTCCTCCCTTGCTCCCTTCTTTCTTTTCTCCCTCCCTCCCTCCCTCCCTCTTTCTGTCTTCCTTCCTTCCTTCCTTCCTTCCTTCCTTCCTTCCTTCCTTCCTTCCTTCCTTCCTTCCTTCCTTCCTTCCTTCCTTCCTTTCTTCCTGGATGTCAGATGCATTTTCATGCTTGCAATTGAAGGATATAATGGCATTACATCAATTATCCCTCTTCCAACACATTGGTCTGAAGGAAGTTGCAATTTCTGATCTAATTAATTGCTGCCTTTTACGAATCTATACAGGAGAACAAGGGGGAAAAATGAGCGTGAGCTGAGATTTACCGAAAGATGATATTTCTATAGAGATGCATGACAGTTAGTACTTTGGCTCCTGATCGTGGGTGGGGTCTGTGCAAGCTTCTTGATGACTTTCTCCCCCCCCCACACTTCTCTTCCTCCTTTTCCAATCTGCTTGCCTCTTTCTCAGTTCCTGCATGAGTTTGTTCTTCTGTATTTGGTAACAGGCATTAATGCAGTTGGATAGTAACATGCATAATAATCACCGTCTCCAGGGAGTTGAAAAGCCGTGGTGAGAATGAAGTGTAAATGATGGAATTGATTAGTTGGGATCAATAGAAACCCCAAACTAAAAAGCAGTCATGGCAGACCAGTGAGACCCAGGTAAAATATGGATGTTTCTCAGTAAGGAATATTTATAGATTTCCTATTCCAGCATCCAGATAAACAGAAATAAGTACACAAAACTCATGTCCAACATGCTACAGGAGCTAAGCAGGTCCATTCACTTGCTTTGCTTGTGCTTAGTCAAGGAATTCAAAATTGGTAATCCAGCCTGAACATCTGGCTGATTATGCGATTAATAACAATAACAATAATAATTTGCAGCAATTTTCCCATCAAGAATTGGCTGGACAATTTCTTTTTGATCTGTTCAGTTTTACCATAAGAGGAGACTCAGAACTTCCTTAATCCAATACAACAACATTTTGGAGTTTGGAAAAGACTTCTCCTTAGAATGTTATGGGAAAACTCAGAGAGGTCAAGTACAGTTGTTTGTCTTTATCCCAGTGCAGAACTGAGATTGTAAACTCTGATTAAATTAGGGAATAGCCATCATTCATATTTAGAGCACAGTTTGCGTGCAGGAAATTGTGAATGTTAGCTCAGCATTTCTAGGTTGAGTTGGGAAGGTCTTTTTTTTTTATCTGAAACCCTGGCAAGCTCCTGCCAATCAATGCAAATTATATTAGGGCTGTAAAATAAATTATACTGGGTCTGGAAATAAGTTATGGTAGAGAGGTAAAATAAATGATCCTATGGATGGAAATAAATTATGCCAGGGAGGTCAAATAAATCTGCCACGAGTGTAGACGTCCGTCGTGGTCTCTTCTAGACACCTGTAGAAAGTAAGAACCGACCTCTTCAGACGTTTAACTTTACGACTAGACCGTTTTACGGTAAGTTCTATCGTACAGATCCGTTTGTAAAAATAAATCCTTTAACCATATCCTTTTATCCAACCTCCGCAACGTACGTTTTTCATCTTTACTATGGCATGTATCGATGGATGACTATGAATGTTGGGGTGTCTGTTAAAGTAACTATGATTATTGAAGGAACTTAGAAATCAGCAAAAACTATTTACTGGAAAAATAGTATAGTATAGTATAGTATAGTATAGTATAGTATAGTATAGTATAGTATAGTATAGTATAGTATAGTATAGTATAGTATAGTATAGTATAGTATAGTATAGTATAGTATAGTATAGTATAGTATAGTATAGTATGGGATGGAAGAATAGAATAGAATAGAATAGAATAGAATAGAATAGAATAGAATAGAATAGAATAGAATAGAATAGAATAGAATACTTGGCACTGACCCCAGTTTTGCTTTCATTTGAAAATTGAACATTCCTGAGCATAGCTGACTCAGGAATTGTGGGAGTTGAAGTCCACAGATAGTAAAGTGCCATATTTGCCAAGCTTGCCCTAGAAAATATCACTCTATGCCCAATTTTGAATTTAGGTATACCATGAATTGAAGTTCAGATTAAGATAATACCTGATTTGGAAGGAATCTTTTGGACATCACAAAATCCTGCTATTCATTAAATCATCCTGGCTTTTTTCATATTTCTGTGAGAGGCTGTCACTTGTTTCAGTTAACTCAAGTCCTAAAGCAATTTCAACATGCTTTCTCTGCTGCTATCTACCAAGCTCCCAAATTATGTCGCATCTTCCCCTCTTCTCCATTTATAGCAAAACCACTTCAGAAGAAGACAGCAAACAGCCAGCTCAGGCAGTGACCCATGTCCCTGCACAACCCACATACGCTCCAACCTGGGAGGAAAGAGTGACAGTGGAAATTGACTCCATCAAGGCAGGAGAAGAAGGTGGGACCACTTTGGAAGATCTGAGAACCTTGGTGGGACTGAATGAAATTGAATGGAAGGGGAAAAGGGGTTAACCGGAAACAAGAAGGATAGATTCAGTTACAGTGGTGATGGGGGTTGGAAGCTCTTAAGGATCAGGTTGGGGGGTTTTGAGGGTCCCGGAGAACATCTATGTGGTCCTTAAGTGTTGACGCCAACTTGATGGCATGTAATCAATCAATGGAATGCAAGATTTTTAAAAGTTTGTGTGTCAAACTGAACTGAATTTGGTGGCGTTAACACATGATGTGGTGTAGATTGTGTAGAGATCAGATTGTGTAGAGAGCACTGCTTCTGAATCTTTCCTCTCTGCACCAAGCAAATGAGTCTATATTTAATAATAATTGTCTACCTGCTTATCTCCTAGCTAGGAAATGGGATCTGCTGTCCCTGGCTCTTCCCTCCTAGCTCCGTTGCCTACCTTAATGGGGAAATGATGATAGATAATTGAGGTGTTTTCCCAAGACGGTGGCCATTCGTCCTGGTGACTTGATCTTTATTCTTCCAAGCTGAGCGATGTTATGTGGGTAATCATAATAATACTAATGGCATTAGAGTTAGCAATTAGATTAATGCCAGACGCTGGCGAAATGAAGCCAGCGGCAGTCGGCCGTAGCACTCCAGGTAATTCCATTACAGCTCCTGATGCAGTGAAACAAAGCAGACTTTGATGGACTCCGCTACCTATCTCAGCCCAGAAGGATCGGAAGAGACAGGGTCTGCAGAACTTCAAGGTTAGGTCCCTTTAGTCTAAATCCAGTTGGAGAAAGCTGTTTGTTTAGGCAAGGCAGGGGCATCTACAGGACAGGTCAAAAAAGTCAAGATGGGGGCCATGATTGTGTGGGCACCCCCACAAGCTCTCTCAGCTGGAGACTTCCCCCAAGAAAAAGAAAAGCATCTTCAGCAAAAGAGAGGTCAAATGCTTCTGTCCAGTCGTGTCCGACTCTAGGGCACAGTGCTCATCTCGGTTTCTTAACCGAGGGAGCCAGCGTTGTCCGAAGACATATTTGTGGTCATGTGGCCAGCAAGGCCATACGCCAAAGGCACACGGAATGCTGTTATCTTCCCACCAAAATGGTACCTATTTATCTACTTGCACGCTTTCAAACTGCTAGGTTGGCAGGAGCTGGGGCAAGGAACGGGAGCTCACCCCGCCGCGTGGCGCTCGGGTCTCGTACTTGGGCGGTCAGCTTTCCAGCTGACAAGCTCAGCGTCTTTAACCGTTGAGCCATCGCACCGTTGCTTCTGCTCCCGATAGCAAAATAAAAATAAGAAAAAAAATCAGCCCTTAAGTTTAGGAAAAGAAGAGTCAAGATACTTTAGTGGGGTTTCATCGTTTGCTCTCTGATCAAGATGTTGTGATGGATGGTGGCCATCCCGGCGACAACGCTGAAGTAGCAGCGTTCTTGGAGTTAGTGATTGCAATCAGAAAGAAAATGAATAGATGAGAGGGATCTCCAAAGAAAGAGAGAGAGAGAGAGAAAGAAGAGGGAGAGACAAAGGAACTCAGGTGTTGGGCAGCTGCCCGGCGGACTGTTGCTCCGTGGATATCTATTCAGTCATAGTTGCACGGTGCCTCTGCCCCCTCCCTCCTCAGGGGGGGGTCACACAGAAAGCAACTGGCGACTAATGATTCAGGAAATGAGGCTCTATTCTTCCCTTGTCAAGGCTCACAGGAGAGGCAGGCCTTCCTTCTTGGGCAAGGGGTTTAAGGGACAAAGAATAATGGTCATGGCGAGAACAAGGCTGCTGGGGGGGGGAGATAATGAGACAGCCTTGCAGACAGGCTGAAGAGCATCTCCAGACACAAAGCAGCGATGTCTTCCTGGCTCAGGACTTCCTAATAAGGTCAGACCTGAGCTTCAGCTGAGTTCTCATAAAATGCTGTGGAGGCTTAGGAGAAGATAATAAGGCCAGTGATATGGTCAAGGGAGAAGAGGGCATCAGTAAGAGGGTGGTGCCTATGTAACCCTGGTTAGTCCTTCATCCATTCTACCTTCCATCTCTTCTTCCATCCCACATTCAACCAATGCCTTCTCCTTCCCCTTTTATCTAGCAAGGATGCTTACACTTTTTCTACCTGGTCTTCCAACACCTCAGAAGCCAGCATCTTGATTTCTCTGTCTCTCAAGGAAGAGGAGGGAGAGATAAAATAGAATTGCTGGTGTGGCATAACATTCGGGAAATCTTCCATAAGTTTCTGCATTTTTCCTCTTTCTGCTCCTGAACCCCAGGGACTAGTTAGGTGGTTGGATGGAATTTTCATGATCTACACCAGGGCTCTTCAAACTTGGCCCTTTTATGACTTGTGGACTTCAACTCCCAGAATTCCTCAGCCAGGCACGCTGGCTGAGAATTCTGGGAGTTGAAGTCCACAAGTCATAAAAGGGCTAAGTTTGAAGACCTCTGATCTACACAATGTACCTCAGGAAGAGAGTGTTATGTTTCCATCTCAAGTTGGCTCAAGGGAATGGTCTGGTCATCCCAGATCAACTAATCTTAAAAAAAATAAGAGCCTTTAGAATTTCTCCTAGTAGGCCAAGATGTGAGTAAGATATAAACCAATGGTCCACCCAAATCTGCAGATACTTCTTTTTTGTTCCAGCTGAAATAAAAGAAAAAGCCT